GAGGATAAGAACAGCTGATATACCAGGAATAACACAGTGTGATTGACCTGTTTTTTTAAATCCCAATGGTTCATCTTCTGAGACTTTTATTAACCTATCTGGATCATCACTAATATATATATATATATATATATATATATATATATATATATATATATATATATATATATATATATATATATATATATATATATATATATATATTTATATATTTATATATTTATATATTTTAACATCTTCGCTTCCAACAAGGCTGCAAGCAACCACTGATTAGTGTTAAAAGTTACTGGAAGAGAAAAGATGAAGATTGTAGAGCTAACGATTGGCAGATGACTTAAAAGATTGCAAATTATATGAATCAGGAAAGTAAGATGGAGTAAGCGAATTCTAAAGAATTGATGTTCGAGGAAAAAAACGAGAGGAATAAGAGTTTTTGGAGCACTTAGGAACAGTAACAGAAAAAGGGTGAGACTTAAGTGAATGACGAATAACACGAAAATGAATTTTAGTAGATGGCACAAGAAATGCTAGCTCTTTAGAGCAGTGGCCATTATAGTATTTGTTGAAAAGAGAAAGAAAAGCAACATTACGACGATGTGACAAAGGTTGAAGGTTGGCTGCAAGAGCAGGTCCAACTATGTTTACAATGCGTTTTTGCACCTTGTCTAAAAGAGAAAGGGCATCATTAGAAGATCCGCCCTAGATATGGCAACAGTATTCCATACAAGGCCGGATTTGAGATTTATAGAGATAGAGAATAGAATCCAGAGTAAGAAAGTCGGAGCTCGATAAAGAGATGCAACTTTTGCAGATGCTAAATATGCAACGGATTTGATATAAGGTTTCCAAGAAAGATCAGAAATAAGAGTTAATCCTAGAAGATGAAGGGTAGATGACTGATTGAGCACAATACTGTTCATAAAATAGGAAGGTCTAAATTATTGCGATAACGATTAGCTGAAAAAAATTGAGTCTTATCTGTTATGGCCTTAACCTCTTCACCTTTATCTAATGCGTGAAAAAACCTATCGGTTATTACTGTTAGCAAAACAGCCGTAGAACGAGAAGAGTTATTAGATTAAAGTAGTAAGTTATTAGATTCAAGATGTGAGATTAAGTGTTTGTTAATTAAAGATTCAAAAACCTTGCTTATGATAGGAAGAAGACTAATGGGACGGTAGTTAGACAAATCGGATCGCTCTCCAGAATTTTTCAAAATGGATAACAGATGCTGCTTTCCAGCAGGCTGGAAAACAAGACTCTGATAAGCACTTGTTGAATAGTTTTGAAAGGATAGGCGACAGCTCCAGAGAACACTTCTGCAAGACTATAACAGGTATGTTGTCCAGGCCGCAAGCTGTAGAAGAGTCTAAGCAGGAAATCACTTTAGATACGGAAGCTGGAGTGAAATGGGTGTTGAGCAATGGATCAAACTATTTGACGCCTATATCAGGTAGAACACAACTAGTGGAATCAAAAGATAATATTGATAAAAAGTTCTTAGCTAACAATTTAGCTTTGTCTTTAGGTCAGGTGACAAAGTCTGAACCATACATAAGAGGTGAAATTACAGACTTGCCTTTACTATTGATACTATTAAAGATTCTCCAGAAGTCACGAGAGCCTAATTTTTGTGATGAAATACAAGATTTCATGATCTGAGAATAGCGGGCTTTGGCGTTAGACAAAACCTTTTTACAATGGTTCCTAGCAGTAATAAACAGACGTCTGTTTTCTGGAGAAAATGTTTTGCTGATAGATATGGAACTAATGGTTTCGATTGCCAATTGCAGCAGCACAATGTGAGGAAAACGATAGAAAAGAGTGAGGCTTGACCTGGAATCGTCGAGAGGGAATAAAGGATTCCATGCCAGCCTTAATCCACAAAGTTATGTAAGAAGCACATTTGTCAACGAAAGATTTCTACCCAAGGGCCATCACAAAGAAAATCATGGAAAGATTCCCAGTCAGCTTTAAAGTAGTTGTAAGATGTACGATGATAGGGGGATTCTTATGATAGAGAAGAATGAGATAATAGTTTTAGAGAGACCAAACCATGATCGTAAGCACCTAAGGGTGAGTGTGGAGAAACTGAGCACTGACTAGGGTCAGAAACAAGACATAAGTTGAGTAGAGAAGGTAAAGGATTCAGGTTGTCTGGAAAGCGAGTTGGAAAGTTGACTATTTGAGTTAGAGATTGAGAAAGGCAAAAGTTGTGGGCTTTAATGCCTGCAGAGTCACTGACACTAGAGCCAAGCCATTCAGTGTGATGAACATTAAAGTCACCGACAACAACAATATTGGCTGATGGATAAAGAGAGAGGGCTTGGTCAATATGATCAGAAATAACATCAAGAAGAGTGCAGTCTTGAGATGAAGTAGAGCGATATTGAACAAAGAGAAAGGTAATAGAGTGAAGTGGTGCTAAACGAAAGCACATAAAAAAGTATTCTGTGGATTCAAACCTAGTTTCCCGACAAATGGGTGAATTCTTACGAAT